CTGGTTGTAAACTGACACTACTACAATCTTTACTGGTTGTAAACTGACACTACTACAATCTTACTGGTTGTAAACTGACACTACTACAATCTTACTGGTTGTAAACTGACACTACTACAATCTTACTGGTTGTAAACTGACACTACTACAATCTTACTGGTTGTAAACTGACACTACTACAATCTTACTGGTTGTAAACTGACACTACTACAAGCTTACTGGTTGTAAACTGACACTACTACAAGCTTACCGGCTACAAACTGGCCCGTAGGTCTGGTGGCTAAAGCTCCCGCTTCACACACGGAGGGCCCGGGTTCGATTCCCGGCGGGTGGAAATTCCGACACGTTTCCTTACACCTATTGTCCTGTTCACCTAGCAGCAAATAGGTACCTGGGTGTTAGTCGACTGGTGTGGGTCGCATCCTGGGGGACAAAATTAAGGACCCCAATGGAAATAAGTTAGACAGTCCTCGATGACGCACTGACTTTCTTGGGTTATCCTGGGTGGCTAACCCTACGGGGTTAAAAATCCGAACGAAATCTTATCGGTTCTCTGAACTATTTATCTAGACTACTACTTAATATGGCCTTCATGGAAGATATGATTTCAGAAGAGACAATGCAGTATCACTGAACAGTTAGTTAGTTAAAGATTAGCCGGTATTCTCCCGGCCCGGGCCTTGTCCAAGTGGTGGCCCGGCCTTGGCTCCCTCTTTAGGGAGTGTCTGAGACCTAAGTCTCCCATGGGAGGCACAAGTACCTCCTCATCTTTAGGACCAACTGTCCCCAGGCCTAGCCACAAGCTAGGCCTCTCTGGTCTGCCATCCCCACCCCAAGGGGGCTAATGGGAATGACAGTCTTATGAGCTAAAGGCTCGGGCTCAGGCACCTACCCTACCCTAGAAGGGCTGGGCATGGTGTCGATGCACTGAACAGTAATTCCTGATTAGCAGTATCAACTGCAGCAGAGACGATCTCTCTCAACTCGAACAAGTATGTAAGTGTATTTTTGTAAGTGCTTATGTAAGTGTATTTTTGGGGGTCTGAAACGGACTAATCTAACTTACATTATTCCTTATGGGAACAAATTCATTTGGTAACGGCACTCGAACAGCCTTCTGGAATGAATTATGGCCGAAATTCGAGGTACCACTGTATGTTAAAACCGACGAATTTCCTGAAGAAGTGTTCAGTGCCGCATCATTGTGAACTTTACGCACAGCTATCTTAGTTGAATGATATGGTCGCTATTCAGACTGAACTCGCAGTAAAACATGATTCCAGTGAAGGAAAGGTAATTTAAGTAGAATAGAACGTTCCATCAATTTAGAAAGGATAATAACATGACATGTTATCGAAGTTAAGGTAAAGTTTCTTGAGGAGGAGAGGAAGGAAAACTGTTCTCATTGATTGTGAAGCTCTCACTTTGTAAACAACGATTAATCAACACAGTTATGAAAGGAACAGCACATTCATTTACGGCGAAGATCTTTGAAACATTTGTGGGATCAAGTGTACAATATGTCTTATTAAAACCTCTGATATATCCCAGCACTTCCTCACCGCTAACTGGAGCAAATTAAGACAAGGTTATCCGTGATACATCAAGAGCCAGAAGAGCCACGGAGAACTAACTACTCTCTTGAGCTAAATCCAGGTCCAAGTGAATATTCTCTATTTTCTGGTGAAAATAATTAAAAAAAACGTTGAAGCCAGCTAAAGAACAAAATAAAAGGCAGCAAAAAAAAAAAAGATTCAGATGCCCGACCAAGCACGTCATTCAGATGCCCGACCAAGCAAGTCATTCAGATGCCCGACCAAGCAAGTCATTCAGATGCACGACCAAGCAAGTCATTCAGATGCACGACCAAGCAAGTCATTCAGATGCACGACCAAGCAAGTCATTCAGATGCACGACCAAGCAAGTCATTCAGATGCACGACCAAGCAAGTCATTCAGATGCACGACCAAGCAAGTCATTCAGATGCACGACCAAGCAAGTCATTCAGATGCACGACCAAGCAAGTCATTCAGATGCACGACCAAGCAAGTCATTCAGATGCACGACCAAGCAAGTCATTCAGATGCCCGACCAAGCAAGTCATTCAGATGCACGACCAAGCAAGTCATTCAGATGCCCGACCAAGCAAGTCATTCAGATGCACGACCAAGCAAGTCATTCAGATGCACGACCAAGCAAGTCATTCAGATGCACGACCAAGCAAGTCATTCAGATGGGTGAGCAAGAGCTTCTGATTACCAAGACTGGATTCAGTTATTTCTCTGCAATATTCCACCTGTTCACGATTGCTCTGTGGGCTACTGTATAATCAGACCATGATCCTAGGGTACACAACATCATCGACGCTACACACTCTTACGGGACCTAAGTAACTGGGCAACAGATATCAAGGGACAAAACCACGAGACAAGATCCTTGTAATGATTATAGAACAGAACTTACTAGTCAAGGCCACGAACACCTGGCCATGAATATTTGACGACTTGTCAACAGACAGTGAAGGCGCGTCTGCCTTACCCAAGCCATTTCTCATAATCACTCCAAACCTGAACCAGATCAAGAATGGAGAACGAAAAGGCACAATAACCCGACTGGAACAATACACAATAACCCACACAAATAACCTTCAAGGTTTCTGTAATTACGAAAAGATAACACGTGCACATAAGAAAGCGAAAAAGAAATATCAAGGGTGAGAGTAACGACTCTCATCAGATACTAA